AGGCGAAAAAGATGAGTTAACAGAGCTTTTTGAAAAAGTGAGTTTTCTAATGGAAAAGTCAAAATATGCGGTTTTTCAAAAAACTGTTAACTCATCTTTTTCGCCTGCAAACAAAAAAGTGGCATCAGCACGATGAGCAGCGCACTCGAATGCCTATATACTGACACTTTTTACGACTAAAAACTCGAATTTCGCGAAAACTGTGCCATTTTTACAACGCTTGTATCTCGATAAGGAAGCAAAATTTTGGGTTCGCTTAGATACCGTTTGAAAGAGGACCTTGAGATTTACAAACCCAGCGAAAAAAATAAAATAAAAATTTCCACCCCAAAATAGGCTAATTTAAATTAATTAGGAAAATATTTTGAATCTTTTTTTTTTGTTTTCACAGAGGTTTGTTGCCCCAACTGTTCTCTTTCGATTGGCGAAAACCCTAGGTCGCTAGCTTTTGTTGTTAAAAAGTTATTCAGAAAACATCCACCTGCACGGTTCATTGAAATGGATAGTAATGCAAAAATTTATGATTCGCATAAAAATGTAGGAATATGAGCATGTGGAAGAAGTTAGAGACGTCAGTGGCATTAATTTACTGAACTTGTTCCAAATTTGTAGTAAGATGATATGATGGTTTTTCTGTTGAAAAGCGTTTCCTATCTACCGTCATGAGCTCGCATGCTTAGCAAAATCTATGAAAAAAATCTAAGGTCTTTTATCTCTTGACTATACCCATAGAAACGGACTATTTTTTCGAAGAAATTGCACAGTTCCAGTACCTCTATGTATTTATTGTTTACTTTACTTTTCCAGGTTACGCAAGAAATCTACGATCATACAAGATCTTTTCGAGTTATTGGTAGCGATCGGTAAGAAAATTTACAAAACAATATTGATTAACTCTAAGAGCACAGAGATTTCCATGGAAGTTGCAATAAACACTGAAGTTATTTTTCAACCTAATAATACGCCCAAAACTAGTACACTCACTAGAAAATTTTAAAACACAGACGCGTTTAAAGTGCATGCGATCTTTGATTTATTTTTAAAAATTTGCGCTTGTGCGCACTTTAAACGCTTCTGTGTTTCAAAATTTTTCATTGGGCAGATTCACAAATTTTTTCTTCGTTTCTCGATCTTGACATTTTTTCTTACAACAAAGAAAACCCTTCATTTGTACATTTTCTAGATTAATTGTTCTCCAAAGTCGTCCATCATTAACAAATAATTCATCAATCACTTCTATTCCAATAACATCGTCTGCTGTTCAACCATGTGATTTACATATTTTAATGGGACACGAAAATACTACTTAAGCTGTATTCATATCTTTCCTCTCTCTCTATCTCCATATATATATAAATAAATATATATTGTTGTTATTGTTAAAATTTTGTCTTCTATATACTCTATTAGTGTTTGTTTGTGTTTTTACATGTATTTTTTACGCATTTATTCTTATATTAAAAGAAACTCACTTCCGCTTTGCACCTCTCTGGAAGAACAATAATAAGCCGGTATTATCTCTCAAGTCAAATGTTTTCTTTCGTTTTTCTGAATTATCCTTCTTTTTCTTTGTAACAGTGTATTGTATGCGACTTTTTCTTTTTGAGCCAATTGCGAGTAAATTAGTTGTATAAAGCGTATATGTTTTACTGTGTTTAAAATATATCTATCCATCTTCGCTCAAACGAGAGTATCTGTGTGTGTGTGTGTGTGTGTGTACTGTATTATGCAGACCCTATTTTGCATGTTTGCTCATTTTTATATATCCAGATAGTTTTATTATTATTTTTGTTCTTTTACTATTGTTAATGAATGAAAAACGGATAAGCATACACGCAAAACAGATACGGATACAATTTCGGTTGTGATTTTGTTTCCCTAGTGTTGTTGCTTTGGATTTTTTGTTTTGTACATTTTGTTCTGGAAATTTGTATGCAATAAAATTGCTGCTGTTGCTACGTATTTGACACGTTCGTGCTAATATCACTTTTTTTATTTACTATTCTCTATTATATGGTTCGTTTTTTCTGTGCTTCTCTATGGCTCTTTTTCTGTTTTTTTTGTATATATTCTCTAGACTGTTTCGTTTTTAATGATATCAAGATATAATAATAATAATAATAATAATATAAATCATGAAATAATAATAGACGGTTGGAGGAAATAAAAAGGGTGACAAAATTCATGATATGAAGTATCAAATATGTAATTGTGATCTCAGTACGATTTTTTCTTAAACATGCTAATTGTCATTTAAGATTAAGATTAGAAATGTGCCACTGCCCTAATTCAAGAGTTCCATATATTCTATGTTCATAACACAGGCTTGTCAGAAATTTAGCACGTAATTAGTGAGTGCATATGAAGAATTCAAGGAAGTAGGCGAAAGAACACTGCACCAGACTAGTCTTCTGGCCAAAGCTGTAGTTGATAACTAGTAACAATACGGCTGCTCATTATAAGCTTGTAGCTGAGAGAAGATGTGGGGCTGTTGAAACCGACATTTGTCAACATCCTACACAAGCGGCAGAGCAGCGTATTCTTCCTTCCTGCTGATGATAGTGCCAAAATTTTATAAGCAGCCTTTTTTTATTTACTTTGCATCAAATGGTTTTAGTCCTTGGATTATCAATATTAATTATTTATGCTTTTTTTTGTTTTCGGTAACTTCTTGTAAGAAACTGTTTTCATAGCCCATTTGGCTTCAGCTGATGTTCCTGCTCTTCAAATGTAAACTTTGGTTCGATATTAGTTGTCAATGTTTTCAACTGATTCGGATTAAATGCAGTTGTTGCTTTTGCTATATATTTATCATCTTCAAAATGCTTTTTATATCTGATTAATCGTCGTTTTTAAGAGATTTTGATTGATTATTATTACACAATGTACATATATACGTTGTGATTGATGCTCCAGATTTGAACCATAATTTTCATTTAAATTCACTTAAATCGATTTTCTCTAACAACTGATACTAAAATGTTCTCTCAGACTCTGGCATAATTTCAATTTATGCAAAATTCATTTCTTCTTCTTTAAGGTACAACAAAATGTTCACATCGACAGTAGAGAACAAGCTAAGAGTAAGAAGACCTGGCTAATTAATGCGGTGCGAAGCAATACCGCATTATAGTAATAAACTGAGTTTTTCCTTTCTAGAAAAGTGACATTTTCTGTAACGATTTTCTTGGGAACTAGAAGGAGTAGAGTAAAATTTTAAACGTGGATAGGGAACTGTGTGTCTGAATTAATAAATAAGCTATTTTCAGTCTTTGCAGATGTTCCAGTGTAGAGTTAGGACGTTCGAAAGTACGTGATTTGAACGACTGGGACTTGTAATTTTTTTTTCCAAACGAAAAACGATAATTAATCCGAGTCATTTATGTGCAGGTGCATTTGCAAGAGAGTACGTTCCCGTACTATGTGATTCATTTCATGACAATGTTTTTATATGCAAGTAACCTATACTTTCTTGATCAATATGGTACGGCTGTGATACCGCTGCTGTATGTTATTAACTTCGCATTGCATTTGCAACTCTCGCTGGCGTGATTGCCGTCTAGTTAGTTTTGAAATCGTGCAAGAGGGAACATATATGATACATACCGGAAACTGTGTTTCTTCCACTGTTTAAGTTGTGTTTCTGTTTTCTACTGAACAAATGATTGAAACGTAATTTAAATCTGTTAAAAGTCGAAATATGTAAGAGAGATATCGCGGTTCCCTTGAGCATTTCTCAGAAAGGCCCTAACATTGTAAAAATTAGCAGACTATTCATCTATGTAATTGTTTTTATTGAAAGATTTTACTGTTAAGGCTTTAACATTTTCTCATATTTTTCCAGATGGCAAAGGTACATTTAACAATTCGCGTGAGAAAAGTGTGTCATATTCTTTATATTGTAATACGCGACTTTTCAGTGCTGATCCATATTTCGCACAGGATGCTACATATGTTTTTTTTCTTCAATATCTGACGATTTAAAAAAAGCGTACTCAGGTGTATCTATTGCCTTAAGAAAACAATTTCCAGGAAAAGATCGTATAACTGTTGGACAATTAAGAAATGATGAAAGTTTGAGACATTTGATGAGAAACGATACGGTGTTTAGACATTTACAGCATGTAAGAGGAAGTCCGCAGTACTGGCAACATGCCATGAAAGATCTTTTTGGCTACATAAGACAGTTAAGCATGCATACATTTTTCGTCACTCTTTCATGTGCTGATATGTTTTGGAAAGATTATCTTGATGCACTAGCCAGACGTAGTACGATAGGTGTGAAAGATATTTATATTCATACAGAAAAAGAAAATTTAATTCAACATAATCCTGTTCTCGCTACCAGACTATTTGATCACCGGCTGAGAGCATTTTTGCGCATGTTTATTTTCGATGGTACTACACTAGACGATGTTCAAGATTTTTTTGTGCGTGTTGAAGCACAAATGAAAGGTTCGAAAAATGCACCTCGTTATCGTGGTACAGAAACAGATGAAAAAACTAGGCAAGAAAGTTGCGATTCAAATTTTAAAGGAAATTGCTTCCACATAGAACTACAGACTATATAGATAGTTTCTACAGAGCTGCATGGAAACGTCCTTCTGGCATTTTACTTAATCAGAAAAACCAAAAGAATTTAGTAAAGAGCCGCTTTCTTTTTTTCTTAGCTTCATTGATTAATCTGCTATTCTTTTTTCTCACATCTATGCGCATGGACAACACATTAGTTAAAACGAAGTTGATCTTGTGGCTGCTGCTCAACGATAATTTCCGTTTATTGACCATAAGGTGTCATTGTCAGCCTATGTAAACAAGTTCTCTGAGCGATCATTCAAGTTTCAACGGAGTTAATAAATCAATTGGATAACCTCTTTTATTTCTTCTTTTTTACTTTTAAGCTTTAATTCTCATCTCTCTAGTCCAATAGCCATGCAAATCGGATGTGTCCACAACATCTATGTCCAAAGGTACCGAGATAGTGAGCATGAAATAGTTTCTTCCAGACTATCGTGCGACCGCCGTTGCTGGAATTCGAACTCGGTACTTTGTCGTCTGTTGTCTGCCCACCACCCGAATGAGTCACGCTGCAACTTTGCCCTACTGTTCTTTCAGCAAAATGTAATCACTCAGTCAAAAGTTGAATGATCACTTAGAATGCAGTAAGTTCAGATTCTGAATTCAGGATTTGAATGATATTTTGAAGAATAACATCACTCGTAATCTGTCAAGGCTAAGTGAACAACGTGGATATAAAATGATCAATTCATGCACAGAAAGTTTCTCCTCATAGACGATTCGCTTTTCATCTTATATTTTGGCAAATAATGAGCACAAAGTACTGACAAGCGTAAAATAAATACAAGAAAAAGGGGAAGTCAAACGGCCACTACGAGAAGGCAGCAAGTCTTCGAGTACCCCCTAAACAGCTGTCATTGTCTTGAGAGGTCGTATAATACAGGATGCAGAAGTACGAATATAACGACGATAAGCTTGCGAACTCCATCGTCCTAGAATCTTGATCAAATAGACAGGTACTCCTGCTTTTGCTGCAGAAGTGGCAGCACCAATACCAAAAGAATATCCCGAGTAATGTGTTGCAGTATAACTTAAAGATGTTAACAGTGTCCTGAGTCTCTTCACCATGATTGCTCGTGTTAAGACTGTTCCATTCGGCATCAAGAAAAGGGGATGCTGCGAGGGATTTGGTTTAAAAGCTGTACGACGTTTTAAATATTTCTACGTAGCTAGTATTGGACATGGTGAGTGTGGCATTTTATAAAGTCTTATGGTAAGACCGCGACAACTTCTGTCCTTTTTAGAACGTTTGAGATGTAGTATTAATTCTGAATTTGTTAATTTGAGGTCTTGTAACGATACATTTTTCAATGGATGATATTTATCCGCATCAATCTCTCCTGATCGCAGGAAACCATGAAATAATATAGTAAAAACAGCTTTCAGCATCGAATCCCAGTAAGCTGAAAAGTATGTACCATTCAATAAAGCAAAAAGCTTAGTGAGCAATGTAAAAGTGATTGATCTACGAATTCTAGGTGATGGTCCTTCTAATCTTCCAGTAAAGTAGAGATTGTGAATTTTCAACCATCATTAGCTTGACGAGAAGGATCCTACCCACGTCTTCGTAGGCATTCAAATCGTACTGTGAAAAGATATCCTTTAATGGAACTGGCTCGAATGTTTAAGACCCCTACGCAATAAATTATGAATTGTTCAATAACATAGTTTGTAATTTCTGCTGTACGAGATTTCGTTGTCAGACAACACAGAAGATCATAATTTCTTGGACCAAAGGCGTAACTTACTGAATAGATCTGTTTGTTTCATCTTGCAAGAGCGTCTTTCAGTTACTAGATAGAAAAGCAAAAGTGATCTTTAGCAGCAAGATACAGAAGTTTAATCGAGGAAACTACTATCGGTTCCAAAATACAAGACCCCTGATTGCTTTTTGAATAACTCCTTACAAGAGATAGATAGAGACTGCAGTTTTCACCATTCGAAAGACGACACTTAAAACCATCTTTTCATAAGCGAAAACAAGTTTCGAAAAAATTTCACAGCCTGGTTTTTGGGAGATCTTTGAAAAACCAGGTCAGAGCTCCCGAAAGTCTTATAGAAACCCGATCGTTTTTTTACATGGGTTTGTAGCCTAAAGTGTCCTCTTCAAAATGGGAGTCAAGCGAGCTCGTGAAAATGCATGGTTTGGCAGGTGGAGCAGATTTCCTGCAGGTACCCAAAAGAACGCTTTTTTGGGTCAAAATAGCATGAAAAAAATTCTATCTAGGTATTTGATGATGCTGATCACGATGGCAATGTCTATTCCCTCCTCCCAAATTGTAAACAGCCACTACAAGCGATGGTAGATATTTATTTTCATGCAGAATCAAAAATATCAACGTTTTCTCCTCTTCTTTCTCCTATTTTCTTCTTACAAGTGAATGATATAGACAACTTTAGTCACTATCTCCACTGTCCATGTCTACCATATTATCCTCGCCCTCATCTTCATCAATTAAGTCATTTTCCATCTCCTCGGCGATTTTGTCGGCAGCCTTGAATATTTCCTCGTGTTTTTTAACGTGATCAAAATAAGGTTTCACATGGTTGGGATCGATAGACGATAGAAATTCTTTCGTTAGCTGTTCCACATCATTAAGACTGAATCGAACATTATTGCTACAAACGAAATTCTTTAATGAAGCCCACACGAGTTCAATACGATTGAGAGCACAATGCTTTACAGGTATGCGGACAAGTTGAACATTATGCTTCATTGCCGCCTTATCAGCCATGTATTCTTTTGGTGGTAAATTTTTATAAGCAACATCCAAAAGTTCGGCTTTTGTCATGATAGCCCCAAATGGTACCTTTTATTTGTACCATAGTGTTTTTTGTTATAATGCGTTACCATTACGTGTTTCAAGGAAATTAACCCACATGTTTAGGTCTGATAAAGCATCACGATCCAGACGTACGTGATAATACAAAAGTTTTACTTCCATAGATAACTGAAATTAGTACGACATAGATGAGCCTCCAGGAGTGATAACACGCCTGGCAAAATTAAAGTGGCCATTGATTACAAGCAATTCTCTTTGTAATTTTACTCTTGTTAACATATCGACCAATAATCGATAACATCCTCGAAACTTTCTCTAGAGGAAGGCTAAATTCAAAAACTATCGTGTTCAATGCGATTCCTAAGTATTCGACAGATGTGGAAGGCCCGATAGTTTTAGAAGGAGATAACGGTATGCCTAGTCGGCGAAAAACTGTCGTCGGCAGCGCCATGGTACGATACCCTTCTTCTTCCGTAGCATCAATCACTAGAAAATCATCTGATAAATGATGGATGTGTGTAGTATGATAGGTGTTTCTAAATATCCACACGTTGGTTTGAGATAGGGTATCAAAAATGCGAGGACTGCTGCGACTACCAAAACATTTTGAATTCCACTGACATCCATAGTACGACCATAAACGAGGATGTAAAGGGAGCAATTTGAACGCATCTTTGATGTTACATTTACATAGTCATGCTCCTCGCCCTACACCCTGAATAGTTGATATGGCATCATCGATCGTGGTGTAAGTCATAGAGCACTCTTCTGAATCAATTTGATCATTAATGCTAGATACAGTTGGATGTTCATGTGGTGGACTAAGATCCAAAATAAGTCTAGCTTTTCCTGAGTATTTTCCAAACACTAAATCTAAGGGATTGATTCTAAAATACTCAAAAGGCCCAATTAGATAATTCTTTTTTAATTCTTCAGTAAGTAGTTTAGTAACTGTGTCAGGATCATCACGAGCAGATCTCAAGTTATTTGATATATGATTATCAGCTAGTAAAACTTTAACTCCACTATGAAAGCCTTTTTGAAGTTCACTCAGTAAATAATCTACGAAAGCTGTCTGGATGCTGTTCTAATTCTTTCCTTAAAACTTCTATGTTAATAGGCGTAGTAGCACGCAAGTCCGTCTAGTCTAAACGAAATGTATTTCACTACGCACAACGTTTGGTGAGCCCATCGGAAAAGTGCACGTGGTGGTCTGGCTAAACATCTCTATCAAATATAGACTTGCCTTCAGGTAAAGAACTAAAATCATATTGCGCTATGTTAATATTTCTTTAAGTTACAAGTTCAGTTGTCTCTCTCTCTCAATATACATAGATCACATTATTGTCAAACGTTGATTAGCCATAGCCGGTGCAGAAGAAGTATATGATGACGGACAGACTGTTTTTGAATGTTCACAACATTTGTTATGTTGCTTAAAATCAAGAGATCTGTGAGCATACTGGCAAAATGTACCTCGATCACATCCTTTTCTCGAGTATAGTCTGATTCCGACGCTATTGTCTTTAATCTGTCGATCATGGTATTATTTTGAACATCCGATGTTCGGTGTTCTACATTTTCAACAGTTTCATTTTTTTGCCATTCGATTATCAGTTATTGAATAATACCCATTCGTTCTATTATTCATATTTTCGTCTGTGCAATATCTCTGTATGTGGCCAGTTTT